TAAGCTCTCCTAGCAACATGCCCGACGTATGTAAGGCAAAGCTCTATCATCTTTGCCTCCAAGGAGCACTCTGGCTGAGCTTTCTCCAATATATATTTGTTTGTTCTTTTGGCAGTCCATGGGATTTTCAGTACTCTTCTCCTACATAACAGTTCAAATTGTTTGTCCACCTCTCAGATGCATAACAAGTGACTGGAAAGACCATGGACTGAATCAGATGCACCTTAGTTCTCAAACTGACATCATTGCTCCTCAATATTTTGGAGAGGTCCTTGACTATGAACTTCCCAATGAAATGTTTCCTGATTTCCCGAAAATTGGAACCAAGATGAAGTTGTTGACAGTTTCAATCTTTTCTCCATCTATCATGATATTGTCTATTACTCCAGTGGTGAAAATTTTTGTTTTCTTGACGTTGAGATGCAATCCATATTAAAGGCTGTATTCTTTCATCTTGTCCACCAAGTGCTTCAAGTCCTCCTGACTTTCAGCAAGCAAGGTTGTGTCATTTGTATAACCCAGGTTATTGATGAGTCTTCTGTTGACCTCAATGCCACATTCTCCTCCACAGAGTCCAGCTTTTCAAATAATTTGCTCAACATACAGATTGAAAAGGTATTGGCCTAGAATACAACCCTGACTCACCCCCTTCTTAATTTTAAACCTTGTACTATTCATTTAGCTTCCCAACTAAATCAAGCCTGGAAGCAGGAGCGGCATCCACTTCCAAAATGGCTTGCCTCCGGAAACTCTATGTACGAACAGTGCTTAGGCTGTCCATTCATAGGGTCGCTATGAGTCGTCTACGACTCGACGGCATTAAACAACAATAACGATGACGATGACCAAGAGAGAGCTACGTTGGCCTTGTGGAAGGAAGCAGTGCTACCAAGCCAAAGGTGGGTGATTTTCATCTGTGGCCCTCGGCCAGGTTCAAATTGTCTTCCTGTCAAACACTCTTCTAGGTGGTATAGCACTGGTCTGTGCGTTGCTGTACAGAGGTAACTCAGGGTTGCTGTGATGCTGAAGCCTGTGACAGTGATGTGCCAATCGTGGTAATGGGCACCCATGGTGGACAGTGTTGGCTGGAGCTTCCCGACTAAATCAAGCCTGGAAGCAGGAGCGGCATCCACTTCCAAAATGGCTTGCCTCCGGAAACTCTATGTACGAACAGTGCTCAGGCTATTCGTTCATAGGGTCGCTATGAGTCGTCTACGACTCAATGGCATTAAACAACAACAACAACAACTATTCATTTGCTCTGTTTACACAAAAGTCTCTTGGTCTAGATATGGGTTTCGCATGAGCAAATTAAGTGCTCTAGGATTCCCATTCGACTCAATGTTAGCCATAATCTGTTATGATTCACACAGTCAAATGCCTTTGCAAAGTCAATAAAGCATAGAGAAATTCCTTATTTTCAGCCAGGATCCATCTGACATCAGCAATAATATTCTCGGTGCCACAGCCTCTTCTAAATCCTGCTTGAATTTCTGGTAGTTCTCTATGTACTGTTCTAACCATGTTTGAATGATCTTTAGTAGTATTTTGCTTGTATGTGATAATAATGATATTGTTCAGTAGTTTCCACATTCTGTTGGATCACCTTTCTCGGGAATGGCAACAAATATGGACCTCTTCCAATCCATTGGCCAGACAGCCGTTCTACAAATTTCCTATCATAAATTGGTGAGGGCATCCAGGGCTGCATCTGTTAATTGAAACAAGTCAATTGGTATTCAATCAATCCTGGGGCCTTATTTTTTGCCAATGCCTTCAATGCAGCTTCAACTTCCTCATTACCACTGGCTCCTGCTCCCTGAAATTTTTCATTGTCAGTCAATTCTTTTTGGTACAGTGACTTTGTATTCCCTCCATCTTCTTTGATGCTTCCTGGTCATTCAACATATTGCATCTTTTAATTTTGCAACTCAAGGCTTAAATTTGTTACTCAGTTTTCTCAGATTGAGAAATGCAGAGTGAATTCTTCCAATCCCAGCTCTCTGTACATCCCATTATAATGTTTTGCTTTTTTTTTTCCCCCAAGCTGCCCTTTGAAACTTTCTGTTCAGCTTTTACTTTGACATGTTTTCCCTTTGATTTGGTTTCATGATGCTCTACTACAATTCTCAGAGTCTCTTCTGACACTCACTTTAGTTTTTTCTTCTCCTTTGTCTTTTGAAATGACCTTTTGCTCTCTTCATGAATGATATTCATGATGTCATCTCACAACTCATCTGGTTTTCGATCACTGTTGTTTGTTCAAACCTATTCTTAAGATGATTCTGAAATCCAGGTCAAATAAATTCCAAGATCATATTTTGGTTCTTGTGGACTTGTTTTCATTTTCTTTGGCCTTTATTTGATCTTACATGTAAGTACTGTGCACATGAGAACTTGTATCTGAGTAACTGTTAAATCACAAAGGCTCATCTACCAGGTGCTAATTAGCTTTAAACAAGAGACTCCCGGCCCCTCTAATTGTTATTATCATTCACATTTAACTTTTGTGCATATACAAAGTCTGGTTAGCTTTTGATGCTAGTATTTTCTTACTAATACATATATGACAGCTATTGTAAAATATACCATACTTTCAAATATGACACCCCCATAAATAATGCACATATTCACATATGCCAAGACAATTCTGACTTTATATATTATTTTAAAAATTCTTCATTTGTTTGAAGTTTCCCCACACTACATCTTACAGCATTTTATTAAGGCTTAAGAAATAAAAAATACAGGCCTTAGTTCCTAATTTTGGTATTTGTATAAACAAAACCTGGTTCATAAATTAATCTATTCTTTTAGAGATGAAATATTTTGTAATGACATTTTATTTTAGTGTTTCTATCCTGCTATTTTTTCCAGAATCATGATTTGTTTTGACTTTCTGAGCTAAAGTTTTATATTCCTTCTATAATAATAAAAGTCCTTAAGGATCCTTAAGTATTCTTAAGGGTTAAAGAGTCTCTTTAAGTATTTAAGTCTCTTTTTTATGTCGCTGCTATTGCATGCTATCAGGTTGACTACAACTCATAGTAACTCTTTGAATAAGAGCTCTGAACCTTGCCCTATCCTGTGCCAATCTTACCATCTCTGACACACCTGACTCCTCTGCTACAGTCCCTGTTTCAATTCATGTCATCTAAAGTTTTCCTCTCCTGCACTAACCCTCCACCCTTCCAAGTATTCCATTGTCCAAGGACTGATCCCTTCTGACAACATGCCCAAAGTATATGAGATGGAGCTTCAAAATCCTTGCTTCGAAGGAACAACTTGGTTTCACCCTCTCCAGGAAACACCTGTTCGTTTTTTTGACAGTCCATGGTATGTTGAATATTCTTCTCCAGCACCACAACTCAAAGGCATCGATTCTTCCTTTTTTATATGTAATAATTTCATTTCTCTTATAACTCTTTAAGATTTTAGTAACCATTTTCATGCTAAAACATGATTTTAGTCTAATCAGGGAGCTTTAAACAGATATTAAAATGCCTGCGCTTAAGAGACAAAGTATCCATTCAATTTTACACATCTAAAGTGAACATTTCACTTCTACCCTGAGTTGTAAGCATTCTTATCTTAGTTGTTTTCCTACCACATCCCAGGTAAGTTAATAGAAATCTGGTATTTAGTTTTGATGTCACCTTCTTCCTAAGTGTCCATAAATCAAATACAACTTCTCACTAATTCTGCCTTCTCTTCTTTATCCTTAAAGGAATCCTGGAGTGTAGTGGTTAAAATCAGTTGTCTGCTATTATCAGTGTTAGCAGTTTTCCTTAATATCATGTCCAAATGTCAAGTCCAGCTACTCTAACAGAGAAGAGTCAGTTGGCTTCTGTAAAGACTTATTGTTGCTATGTACCATTGAGTCGCTTGCGACTCATAGCAACCCTATGTACAACAGCTCTAAACTCTGCTCTGTCCTGTGCCAATCTCATTGTCTCTGACACATTCATCCTGATTGCCCCAGTCACCGAATCAATCCACCTCCCAGAGGGCCTTCCTCTCCTGCACCTGCCCTCCACCCTTCCAAGCATGATGTCCTTCTCCAAGGACCGGTCTCTCCTTACAACATGACCAAAGTATGTTAAACGAAGCCTCAGAATCCTTGCCTCCAAGGAGCAGCCCAGTTTAACCCTCTCCAGGATGAATCTGTTTGTTTTCTTAGCAGTCCATGGTACTGTCAACACACTTCTCCAACACCAAAGCTCAAAAGCATCAGTTCTCCTTCTATCCTCCCTGGTCACTGTCCAGCTCTCTGACATATAACAAGTGATTGCAAAGACCATGGCCTGTACCAGACGCACCTTAGTCTCCAGAGACACACTATTGCTCTTCAGTACTTTAGAGAGGTCCCTAACAGCAGACTTTCACATTGCAATAGGTCTTTTAATTTCCTGGCTGCTGGTGCCAAGAGTGTTGACTGTGGAGCCACGCAGACTAAAAATGTGAACAATCTCAATCTCTTTACCATCCATCCTGATGCTGCCAACTGATCCAGTGGTGAGAATCTTTGCCTTCTTGACATTGAGCCTCAATCAATATTGAAAGCTGCAGTTCTTGACCCTCAGCAGCAAGTGCTTCAGGTCCTCCTCAGTTTCAGCAAGCAGGATTGTGTCATCTGCATAATGCTGACTGTTGATAGATCTTCCACCAATCCTGACACCACACTTCTCCTCATAGAGACCTGGAAAGGCTTGTTCTACTGACCAAACAAAAAATTTGGTTTTGTTATCCATTCCTACACATATCACTCTTATAGGCCCTTATCACTCCTACTATGGAATATTAACTAGAAAAAAGAAAATCAACTCACTTTATTATTTGTTGATTCAAAAAAGTTTGAAATTATAAATATTTTAAGGAAAGACAGTCTGAACTACTGTATTTCTTCCAGGGAAAATTAATAAATGCAAAGTATTTGGAAAGTAAGATAAAAATGTGTCTATTCCATAAGGTATTAAACAAAACTCCAGAAAATGGCTTACCTTTTTTTACTACCCGTCACAGTTGTAAGCCCCATGGTATAATCTTCATTTAAATATGTATATTCAGAGATCCCAAAGTGCTCTAGTTTAGGAGTCACACACTCAAAATCATCCATCTTCAGGGCACACTTTGGGGTTTTCAGTACTTTAGTTAGTGACTCTTTAGCAGGTGGGGTTAAAATCACTGGCTCTTCCTTAAGGTTGTTCACATCCTGCCGGTGCCCAGGCAGAACCTGAGGTATGAAGTATCGCTCGAGTCCAAAATCTGAAAGTTGTGGACTGCGTAAAGACATCTCAGAAACAGAACCACTCAAAGCATCGCCCTTCATATCGGGCTTTTCAAGATCTTCACTGCTAGCCAACTCCAATTTGGTGTTAATGATTTCATGCTCATCCACTAAAGGGGGGGAAATTAGAGAAAATATTCTGGTTAAAATCAAAACAATTTTATCTGCTTAAATCCACTCAAACCACAACAACCAGTAGAAGTCTTTATTTTCTCTTTAGTTTCTAAATATTCCATATTTTAGTTGCCCCGTGGGTGAATTTACGACAGGTCTTATCCACCCATATCTCATGAGGAGGCTACTGTGGTGTAGAGAACTTTTAGAAGTGTTAAAAGATGAAAAATCAGAATCCTAAAACAGTATTTCACACTTCCTTAGAGTTCATGCAATTTACAACAGTCTTCCTTAATATCATGTCCAAATCAAAAACTAAGCCTATTGCTTTTGAATCAATCCCAACTTACAGTGACGCTGTTGAGTCAATTCTAACCCACAGTGACCCTGCAGCACAGAGTAGAATGACCCTACAGGATTTCCAAGGCTGTAAATCTTTATGGAAACAGACTGCCCTGCTTCATCTTTCTACTATGGAGCAGCTAGTAGATTTGAATTGCCAACCCTTCAGTTGGCAGTCCAATGCTTAAGACACTGCCATCAAGGCTCCTTCATATCATACTGTTGCTGTGTACCATAGAGTCGGAACTGACCCATAGCTGACCCTCCAGCGGGTTTTCAGAGGCAGTTAATCCCATAGGAAGAGACTGCCCATCTTCCTCCCGTGGTACGGCTGGTGGTCTTGAACAGTGTGCTTCGGGATTGCAGTGCAGCTTCTTGACATTAGGCCACCAGCGCTCTCTTTCATGATATTAACTGCAGTACAGAATTAACTGTTCTCTAGATTTGATACACAGTATAGTAATTTTTTTTTTTTTAGATTTTCACCTTTCAGATGACTAAATTAGAAAGGAAAAGATGGCTACAGAAAGATAAATAATGGGATGCTGTTGTTGTTATGTGCCGTCGAGTTGCTCGCGACTCATAGCGACCCTATGTACAACAGCCCTAAACTCCACTCTGTCCTGTGCCAATCGCACTGTCTCTGATACCCCCATCCCAATTATCCCAGTCACTGAATCAATCCACCTCATAGAGGGCCATTCTCTCCTGCGCTGTCCCTCCACCCTCCCAAGCATCATGTCCCTCTCTAAGGACCGGTCTTTCCTCACAACATGTCCAAAGTATGTTAGATGGAGCCTCAGAATCCTTGCCTCCAAGAAGCCACCCGGTTTAACCCTTTCCAGGACAAATCTGTTTGTTTTCCTAGCAGTCCATGGTATTCTCAATACTCTTCTCCAGCACCACAGCTCAAAGGCATCAATTCTCCTTCTATCCTCCTTGGTCATTGTCCAACTCTCTGATGCATAACAAGTGATTGCGAAGACCATAGCCTGTATCAGACGCACCTTAGTCTCCAGAGAGACATCATTGCTCTTCAGTACTTCGGAGAGGTACCTAACAGCAGACTTTCCCATGGCAATGCGCCTTTTAATTTCCTGGCTGCTGGTGCCAAGACTGTTGACTACAGAGCCAAGCAAACTAAAGCTGTGTACAATCTCAATCTCTTCACCATCCATCCTGATGCTGCCAATTGGTCCAGTGGTGAGAATCTTTGTTTCCTTGACATTGAGCCTCAATCCATATTGTAGGCTGCAGTCCTTGACACTCTGCAGCAGGCGCTTCAGGTCCTCTTCAGTTTCAGCAAGCAAGGTTATGTCATCCGCATAACACAGGTTGTTGATAAATCGTCCACCAATCTTGACCCCACATTTCTCCTCATAGAGCCCAGCCTCCCGGATAATCTGTTCTGCATATAGGTTGAAAAGGTATGGAGATAGGATGCATCCCTGGAGTATGCCCTTCCCAATTTTGAACCATGCAGTGTTCCCTTGCTCTGTTCTGACGACTGCCTCCTGGTCCAAGTATAAGTTTCGTATTAGAACGATCAAGTGTTTTGGGATAGACATTATTAAACATCTTTACTGCACAGATGAAAAACTGAGGTACAAGATTAAGTATCTGCTAAGTAAAATCAAGCTAGTAAGCGATGGAATAGAGATTTTAAATCAGGTAGTTTAACTCCATACTCTAAACCATTATGTTATATACTACCTTCACTAGAATGCTAGAACTGAAAAAGACTTTATCAATTAATTATGTGGTAAAAAAATCTCTTCCTACAAAAGAAGAAAAAGAATGAGAAAAATGAACTAGCATTCAGCTATTTATGAGCAAAGCTGACTTTGCTGTCAGATGCTGTTGGGCTGTCCCTCTACCCCATGGCAATGCTATGCTCAGTGAAAGGAAATCCTGCCCTGCCTTGTGCCAGTCTTACAGTCAAATGCAGTTCATACTAAAAGAATAACTTTTAAGTCCCATAGGTTGTGTTTGTTTCTCCTAAATAACTCAAGGAATTCCTCCATCTAGCATTTTGGCAAAGAGTACAAAGACTGCCTTCTTGACCATGGATCAGCACTGCATTCGACATGCAACGAATATACAAGATGAGCTTACCCAATGATAGCTGCAAACAGCACAGCAAAACTGGAAACTATGGCTGAGCCTGACTTGATCATGCTGTCTACTTTTTCTAAATATGGAAACAAATGCTATAAAATGAAAGTTATTCAAACCTGAATTTTCCTGGGCCTGTGGAGTATATCCATACATCTGGAAAAACTCTCTGATCTTCATAATATCCGTTGAATTCCTTTTCATCAGTACTTTGGCTGCCTTTAGGAAATGTGTGTTTTCTTGACTTTCCAAGCTCACTTTATGAAGAAGACTATCAACATCACCCTTTTGTGAGGAAAGAGAATAGGGAGTAATTTCTCTAGTGATTCACTAAGTATATTTAGATTTATAAAAACAACACATCACAGAAAGATGAGAAGTGAATACCTTTAGAGTCTGGATTTCTGAATGCAGGTCACATAACGTCTTCATGGCATGCCCTTCCAAGTCTTCAACACGGATATTTAATAAATACAAAGAAAGGAAATAAGAGAAGATATAAGTTAGCAGAGTTTCTTGGAACTGTAAAGTCCTTGTAGATATTTATTTACAATTTATAGTCTGCCTCTTGTCAAGAAAATTGTTAAGGCCTTTTAAAAAATATGCAAGCTTCAAATGACATTTAATATTGTAAACAAATTACATAGCTTCATGAAGTTCACCAGTACTGTGTAACCAGTACATAGCTCAATAAACTGTGCATGACTTGTTGCTATGTGCCATCAAGTTGAGACCTAGTCATAGCCGATCCTTCAGTGGGTTTTCAATGGTAGTAAATTACATGGGAAGAAACTGTCCTTTTTTACGTCTTTCTTCCACAGAGCAGTTGGAGAATTTGAATTGTATTCCTTTGGGTTGGTAGCGCAGTTCCTTATCACCAGGCCACCAGAGCTACCTGAGCTCTAGAACTCCAGAAATTCTCCTGGAATTTCAATGTTCCCCTCACCAATGACCATTACACTGATTTCTAACTCCACAAATTAGCTTTGTGTATTTATTAACTTTATTTAAGAAAATCATGCAATATGAACTCTATTCTGGACAGCTTCTTTCACTTGATATGTTGATGACATTCATTCACATTCACCAATAGTCTATATGTTCCTTCTCTTATTACTGTATACTATCCTGTTATGTGGTTGTACCAAAAATACTTGCCAATTCTAGTCTTGTTTTAGTACTGAGAGTACTCTTATATTGAACATTCTTGCCCAGTTCCCCTGGTCCCTATGACCACATTTCTACATGTTACAGATCTAGAATATGTGTTGCATTATAATGCAGGTCCAACTTTAGTAGATGCTGCCAAACAGTTTTCTAAAGTGATTATTCTAATTTCTTTTCACCAGCAATGTATGGGAGAGTTCTGTTCGTCCAATAGTACTGCACTAGTTATTTATCTTTTTAATTCTGGTACCCTGATATGTGCAGAATGTCTTGCATTGGAATTTAATTTGCACTTTACTGATGAAGGATAAATGAAGCTAATGGCTTTTTATATGCTTAAGGCCACCTGAAGGTCTTTTCAAGTTATAATTTAAGACTGCTGTTATTTTCCTATTTTGTTATCTGCCCTTTTGTTGCCAGTTTGTAGGATTGTATTCTGGATACAAGCCTTTGGCCAGAAACTGAATCACAATATTTTATAACTCGCTAGTCACTTTTTATTTTTCTAACATCTTTTAATAAACATGTTGTTGTTGTTGTTATGGGCCATCGAGTCACTTGAGATTCATAGCAACCCTATGTACAACAGCCCTAAACCTTGCTCTATCCTGTGCCAATCTTACTGTCTCTGACACACATACCCCCATTACCCCAGTCACAGAATCAATCTATCTCATCGAGGGTCTTCCTCTCTTGCACTGTCCCTCCACCCTTCCAAATATGATGTCTTTCTCCAAGGACTCGTCCCTCCTTGCAACATGTCCAAACAGAAGTTCTTCATTTTTACATAGCTCTATTTCTCAATTAAGGGAGGTTTAGTGCTAAGGAATTGTGCTGCCAACACAAAAGGATGTGGTTAGAATCCACCAGTTGCTCTGAAGAAGAAAGACAGGCAATCTCCCATGGTGATTTACTACCTTTGAAAACCCATGGATCAACTATGGGTTGGTTCTGACTCCATGGTACACAACATTTCTCAATTGTTCATTTAATATGAGCACTTTTTGCTTCCTATTTTAAAAGTATTTACTAACAAACTATTCGTGCGTTTTCTTCTAAAAGCTTTATTATTAAGAGTTATAACTGATCTAGAATTGATTTCTGTGTATAACCTAAGATATAGATCGAGAGTTTTCTATAAGGATATCCAATTGACTCCACTCTATTTGCTGAAAAGAGAACATTTACACACTATATTATCTATTTGGTTATTAATCATTTGGTTAAAAATAGCTTTTCTAACACATGCTTCCTTTGAAGATCATCTTCTCCTGTTGTAAGACAACTAATTTTCATTGTTGTTACATACCATTGAGTAGAAACCGGCCTGTAGCTGGCCCTTCAACAGGTTTTCAGAAGCAGTAAACTGCACAGGAGACTGCCATCTTTCTCCCAGGAAGCAGCTGGTAGATTTGAACTGTGTCCCTTTGAGTTGCCAGTGCAACTCTTTACAACTAGGCCTTAAACTATTTTCATTTGTTGTTAAGTGCCTTTGAGTCAAGGCACCTAACAATACATGACTCATAGCTACCCTATGAATAACAGATTTGAACCCTGTCCTAGCCTGTGTCATCCTCATCATCTTGAGATGACACCCTTGAGTCCACTGGCACAGTCATTGTGACAATCCATCTCACTGGGAGTCTCTGTCTCTTTTGCTGACTCTCCACCTTTGCAAGCATGACAATGCTTTCCAAGAAACAGCCTATCCTAGAAACATATCTGAAGTATGAGAAACAAAGTTTCACCATCTTTGCCTCCAAGAAGCACTCTCACTGCATTTTTTTCTATGACCTATCTATTTGTTCTTTTGGCAGTTCACAGGATACTCAGTATTCTTTTTCAACACCACAACACAAAGACATCATTTTTTTTAAAGGTATCAATTCTGTCATCCTTATTCAGTGTACAGCTCTCAGATGCATAGTAAGTGATGGAAAAGATCATGGCCTGAATCAGGCACACCTTAGTCTTCAAACTGAAATCATTGCTCTTCAGTATTTTGGTAGAGTCCCTGACAGCAAACTTGCCCAATGTAATGTTGTTGGTTTTGTTACATGATGTCGAGTTACCTATAACTCAGAGACTCTACAACTAGAGCCCTATCCTAAGCCAGTCTCACTGACTCCGAGACACCTACTTCCATTGTCCCAGTTACTGTATTTATCATTTCATACTGTATCTATCATTCCATCTCATCTGGAGTCTTCCTCTCCAGAGCTGTCACTCCACCTTTCTGAGAATGATGTCCTTCTCTAAGGACCTGTCTCTCTTGGAATGTGCCCAAAATATGTGTGACAGAGCTTCACAAACGTAACTTCCAAGGAGAATCTTGGTCTCACCCTCTCCAAGACAGACCTATTTGTTTTCCTGGTAGTCCATGATATGTTCAAGACTCTTCTCCAGCACCACTACTCAAATGCATCCATTCTTCCTTCTGTCATCCATCGTTATTGTCCAACTCTCTGATACATAGTAAGTAATTGCAAAGACCATAACCTGGATCAGGTGCACCTTAGTCTCCAGACTGACATCATTGCTTTTTAGTGGTTGGAGTGGTCCCTGATAGCATTGGAGTGGTCAATGATAGCATTATGTTATTACATTATTATTATTTTCTGGTTTTATGAGGAAGAATGTGGCATCAAAAATTAAAGACTCATCAATAACCTGCGTTATGCAGATGACACAATCTTGCTTGCTAAGCAAACTGAGGATGACCTGAAATGCTTGCAGTCAAGGACTGCAGTCTTCAATAGTGATTGAAGTTCAACAGCACAAAGACAAAGATACTCACTATTGGGCCAAATGGCAGCACCATCATAGATGAAGAAGAGATTGAGGTTGTTAACAATTACAGCTTGCTTGGCTCCACAATAAATACTCTTGGCATCAGCAGTCAGGAAATCAAAGGATGAATTGCACTTGGAAAATCTGCAGTTAGGGATCTCTCCAAAGTCCCAATGCAAAACATCTTTTGATTTCTTGACTTGTGGTACCAAGGGTGTTGTTAATGATCCAAGTAAGATTAAATCATTAATAGTTTGAATCCTTTCTCCATCTATCATAATGTTGGTCCTGTGATGAGGATCTTTGATTTACTGATGTTGAGATGTAAGCCATATTGAAGGCTGTAGACCTTGATTTTCTTCAGCAAGTGTTTCAAGTCCTCCTCACTTTCTGCAAGTTGTGTCATCTGAATAATGCAGGTTGTTGATGAGTCTTCCTCCAATCCTGTCACCATATACCTCTTCATAGAGTCCAGCTTCCCAAATTATTTTCTCAGCATACAGATTAAGTATGGAGAAAGGATACAACACCCTCCCCCCCGCCAAAAAAAACCAAAAAGATATATCGCTAGACATCTACTAAGAGGGCTTGTTAGATGGAGAAATCAAGCTCTTGTAGGGATGCAGAAGAAATGGGATGCTTGCTTAGTCATTCCTGGTGGAAATATAAAATGGTACAGTTGCTTTGGAAAAGTTTGGCAGTTCTTAAAATTAAGCATCCATATGCTAACATGTTGTTATATGCTGTGAAGTAGGAACTGACTCATAGCTGACCCTCCAGGGGTTTACAGAGGGTGTAAATTGCACACGAGGAGACTGTCCATCGTTCTCCCTAGCAATAGTTGGTGGTTTCGAATCGCGTACCTTTGGACTGGCAGTATAGCTCCTTAATACTAGGCTACCAAATTTCTGTTTACAGTATTATACTCAGCTACATAACATGTATTTTATTTGAAAGCATATTGTTGTGTGTCCTGCGGTCAATTCTGACTCATGGTGAGCCTAAACCGTTTCTCCTTCGAAGTACTTCTCACCATTGTAAACAAAATATCACTTCCGTGCGTTTGCTCATTTGTTATTTGTCTGATGCCTTTCTGACCCTCCCTACTATCACCGCCTCACTCACCGCTCTCCTCTCCTTTCAGCGCCCGATGCAGCCGGGCCGTCTCGCTGTCCAGAGTGACAGCCAGAGAACGCAGTTTTCCGTGGAAACTCCGGATAGCATCCATTGGCGAGAACCGAGAGAAGATGCTCAAGAGCAGTAAAGAGGGGTAGGGATGCTTGCCCGCCACTAGTTTGAATCTCAGGACGCTGGAAACTTCCCAGATGACGCACTAGTTCTCTCTCGCGAGGGCGGAAGTATCGCGAGAAGTGGCCAGTCGGCCCCGAAAGGCGAGCGCGCTTCCTTTTCTATTGCTAACTTGCGGAGGGAAGCTAACTCCCCTTGGAGGAGCTGGTGAGTTAGTACGTCCGTGTGCATGCACTTTGGGCGTTCTCTTCTCCGCCTAGCCTAGCACCAACTCTTCATTTTCTTTGGGAGAATCACAGCGCCTTTCTGGGTCTGGGATGGCGTATGGGCTGGGTTTGCGCGCTGGGCCCTCTGCTGTCCGGGCCTTGCCAGCCTCATGTTGGGTTCCGCGTCTGTCCTGTCTCCCCCTGCAGGCACCATGTTCGTGACCGCCTTCCTGTGCCGCAATCGCATTCCTGGAAGACAGTGGATCGGGAAGCACCGGAGGCCCCGGCCTGTGTCTTTCCTTTCGAAACAGAGAATGATCCGTCGCCTGGAAATTGAGGCAGAAAATCATTACTGGCTGAGCATGCCCTACCTCACCGCAGAGCAGGAGTATGGCCACGCTGCAGCACGCAGGGAGGCCGCCTTCGAGGCCATCAAGGCGGCTAACTTTTCAAACTTTCTCTCGCACAGATTTGTTGCAGACCAACTCCAGCATCTCAGTGTCACCAAGAAATGGTCCTAACTCCACGTCTGCGCCCTTTGGGTTACAGATTACAGGGCTGTTCTCTTCACTTGATTGCAGAAACTAAAAGCCACTAGAAAGGAACCCGAGTTGTTTTAAAAAAACTTGAACGTAGTAGACTGGATAAAAACGGTAGTGTGTCGTCCTTCGTCAGTCCCTTTGAGAAATGCTGGAGATTTCCTTGAGCAAGATATAAAACACACATTGGACGAAAGCTACAATAAAAGTATAAACTATGGTATTTGGGGTTCTGTGTTTAAAGATAATTGATGGAGAATTGATCGAAGTGTTAGTGTGCGTAGGGTCTTTTGTCAAGATGAATCACGTAAATTGCACATTGAGGTAAGTGCCACGCATTTCATCAAAACCCAATCCACTGCCGTGGGATTCGATTCCAACTCATAATATGACACTCCATTGGGGTTTCAGGACTGTAACACTGAACAGGAGGGGACTGTGGAGCTGCAGCCCCATGCACTATACCACCAGAGTGCCATTAATATCTTACATAGCCTTCTCTTATTATTGACTGAGGGCTCGGTTGTCCAAGGGTCCTGTTGATCAGATGTGCCTTGGATGGTTATTTACAGGTTATAAAGACCCTAGAAACTACACAGTGAACTAGGAGTTAGAACAGAAGCACTAAACATGTTATTAAACCAGTTAACGGATATCTGGTGAGATGTCCAGCCAAGCAACCAGATCCCATGAGTTTAGTTCTATATAAACAACCTTAGTAGCTTTTTTGGTTTTGTTGTATCAGAAGACTTGACAGTACAACTTTCCATAGGCATACTAAGAAATGGGAACTTGTGTTGAAAAAAATAAAAATTGATCTCCAAGACTTGAAGGGATTCTGAGCTTTTTCTGTTGGACTTAGATCTAAAAATAGCCCTTTTCTTTGTCTTGGAACTTAATATAGAGTGACTATTTAAATTATTTCTTAGAGCTGTCATTTGTAGGTATATTTTTAAGACCAGGTTTATTGTGATTCACATACCATACAATTCACTAAAAGCGTTTGCTTTTTCAAAAGTTATTTCAATATAACTGCAACAGCTAAGCACATGACATGTCAGCAAGTAGGTATGTCAACAGCAACTATAAAGTTGGTAGTATTCTGATCGTATCTTTGAAAAAGTATACCAAAGTTGTATATACTAATGTGTCCAGAGTAACTGCCAGTAAAAGGAGGAACCTGGATTCAATTGTTTTTTTTTAGCAGATACCTTTTTACCTATCATAGTTAAAGTTGCTATTACAGAAGTACCACAGGTGGATGGCGTAGACAATTTACAAGGTTTGAGAGGCTAAAAGTCAGGGCTCCTGCTCTCAGAGAAGGCATTCTGCCTTCTCTGAGGGGAAGATCATGGTGTCCTTTGAGTGTCTGTGGGTCCAGCATCCTCTGGAGATCTCCATGTGTCTTGGCATCAGTTCTCCCTGGGTCCGAGAAATTTTGAGGGCAGGAATTTCTTGGTGGTACTGAGACCCCTCCCCTCTCCATGCTACTCTCTTTTCCAGTGTCCTGATGTACAATGTGATACAGGTCCCACAACAGGTAAAACTTCACTTTTATTGGTTAGGGCTGTGATCTGAGTAAGGTCAATGGATTGGCGCATCATATCATTACATAACTGCCAGACCACTCAGAATTGTGGTCTACCCACAGTGACGTGTTTTGAGGTGACACTGTTAGTCCATGCCATATAATTCTTCAGTAAAGAATTTGGAAAAGACATAGAATAAAAATAAAATGGACCTATTACCCAGGTTTACTATAATTATGTATTTTAAAGCTGTGTCTAAATTCTCAAGTCAAAGCAGTGAATTTTAGAGATTTATCTCAAGAAACGGCTCATGTAGAGGCTCACAAGTACCAACTTTGCAGATCTGGTGTCTGGCTGTTTAGGCCTCTTTTGACTCACACATCTGCAGTGACCAATACATCTGAGATTGGCAGGTCAGTTAGCCACCTTTGGCTTCTGAGGCTGGTGAATCCCAGCAATATAGCAAGTCGCTGGCTCAAATCCAAGGAACTGGAGATCAATAAGTGACAAGCCAGATGTAGAATTCAGGTGTCCAAATTTGGACAGACTACACTCTTGAAGAAACTCTTTTTCAGTAGATAAGCTGCTATATCTGATCTCATCATGGAGGTGATTTTGTCACAGCTCATCAAAGGAATGGACTCAAACCTGACAGAATGCGAGGATGGCACATGATCTGTTAGACATTATGATGCTGTGAGTCCTCAGATATATCTTACAATGAGGCAGCCAAAAGCCACAAATACCATTTAGTGATTTTGATGCATATTGCCAAAGAACTTTCAAAAAAAGTAATAGAAGCCACAAGAGTAAAACAGGAGAGTATGGAATGTTCTTACTAACAAAGAATACCAGATTTTATATACTTTTTCATTTTTGTGAACAATATGAGTAAGCTGTGACATAGGTGCTTTGGTTTTCTTTATTCATTTCACTTTAAGTGTCTAATGTAACTGGCCTGAACGGAACTGTCTTGTGTGCTGTCGTGTTGGAACTGACCCAGAGCTGACCCTCCAACAGGTTTTCAGAGGCAGTTTAATTATGTGGGAGAAAATTGCCCATCCTTTGGCAGAGCATCTGTTGGATTCGAACCATGTGCCTTTGGAATTCTAGCACAGCTTATTACCACTAGGCCACCAGAGCTTCCTATCTTGTGACTTTATTAATGTCATATTCTTGGTAGTAAGCTAATACTTGTGTGGGAGGCTTTTCATTACTCATACAAATGTGTCTAAAATCAAGTTGCATGTGGACAGTTTAGCCTTTCCATACTTGGAAACGGTGATGGCTGTTGCTCTTTAGGAGAAAAGTTTAGCAGGGCACCTGCTTACAGGCACAACAACTTCCTACCACTACACTTTCTATATGACTCAGAAATTTCATTAAACTTTGAAATTTTTAAAATAGTAATAAATGGTCCTTTAAATCTCAAAACATTGACAAATCCAAAGAATGCCAAAGATAAAAAAACTCCAGGTATGAAGAAATGGAATGTGTTTTAGGATTGTCAAGAAAAACTAAGCCAGTAGATACTTGCATTAACATTGTTAGGTGTTAGGGGAGCAAATGACAGGAAAATATCTTCTAACAGAGCAAGAAGGCAAGCAGCTTTAACCCAAGACCACCAGTAAGGTGATAAAGCGTCCTCCCTTCCCCCCTTTACATCTACGCCCCTGTTCAGCATGAAGAAGCCAGAGAGTCGGCATCCAATTCCCAATTCAATAAGACAGTTGGTTTAATTACCATTGGAAAATGCTTGTCATTCCTCTGTAGGATCTGCCCTCTGGACCCTCATTATTTCCTTCACCTGCTCCCCCCACCGACCAAACTGCAGCTCTGCAACTGCATCCTGGCCCATCCTCACCCTTCTGTCCCCAACCCTCACCTCCTTGTACCCCCAATATGTTTTTCCCAATAAAAAACAAAACACAACATTGTTAGGTGTCTTCAAGTCAGTACAACAAAATTAGACTGCCCCATCCTGAACCATCCTCACAATTGGGGGCTGTGTTTGAATCCACCTTTGACATCCTGGGTCATTCCATCTTTTAAGGAGGCTCCTCTTTTTTTTTTTTTAAACTGATCTTCTCCCAAGCATAACATCCTTCTCAGGATTGTTTCCTCCTCAAAATGTGTCCACAGTAAGTGAAATGAAGTCTCACCATCTTCATTTGTCAGGAGTGCACTGGCTGTGCTTTGTCCAAGCAGTGTTGTCCATTCTTCTGGCAAACTCCAGTATGCTCAATTTTCTTAACCAACACTGTAACACAAGGTCACCAATTCTCCTTTGGGATTCCTTATTGTCCAGCTTTCACATACATCTGAGGTGACAAACTGCAGAGTGCCAAGAGGGGAGGATTGCCAAAGTAGCCAGATATTGTCTGGAGGGAGAATACTCATTAAAGTCCTGTAGCAACTGAATTTGGAGGCAGGAGTGGCATCCACTTCCTAAATAACATGCCTCTGGAAACTTTGTGAACTTTGATAAATGATAATCTAAAAAGGGTTCAGGCCTTTTGTTCATGCTCGACTTCATGGCAGTCAACAACAACAGCAACTGAATGATTGGTCACATTACATTAGATTCCATTATGAAAGATAATTACATTATGAAACAGCAACTAATCTACTGGCCAGTCCATTGAAAACCACAGTCTTGCCAAACAGACATAAAATTAGCCATCAGAGAAGGTGAGTGAGATTTGTGAGAGGACAGACATTTAGAAAACAGTTTCATTTCTTTCATAAAACAAGTCTTTTGAAGAAAGCATTATCCCAATATTATGTTGTTGTTATGTGCCATTGAGTCACCTGCGACTCATAGCGACCCTATGTAC